TGTTATGATCAATGATCAATTTCAACTTTATAAAGGTTGGTGGTGGCAAGAGGCGTAGGTTGGGAAGTACTTATGGGGAAAGATGAATTGGCAAAGGGTGGATATAAAGTATTTAATTGCTACCACAAAATCAGGAAATGAAAATAATTGTAATAAATTTGTCATCAAGAAATAAAACCAAGATATAAATAAATGATGTCATTATTTTTTATTACGGGGCTAAAAGTAACCTGACCTATGGGATAGGTATAATGCCATAAAGAAGGGACATCCATCTGTTTAGAAGGTACGTATGCTTTCCAGAGGGTACGCTTTTATATTCCACACGCCACCATTGACAGAAAAGTCCATTGAGAAATTGTATATTTACTTAGGGGGAATAAAAACCTTATATGTATGTATGCACATATCATGTGAAATTGGATGAAAAAATTCTAAAACGTTTTTATTTGGGTAGAACCTATGTATTTTAAAATAAGATGCTTAAACCGAAAAATAAAGGAGTTGGAAAATTTCAATGTCAGCAAAAAAAATTAAGAAACTTACAACCTAGAATAATGGGTGCGTTCAGCAATTAATCATGCCAAAGCATCAGTCGCTGTTGACCATTTCTTGTGCGTTTTTTATTCGTCGAATTAAAATGCCGAATGTTTACAAGTAATTATATAAAAACATATGTATTTGGTTTTTATTAACCCGTAACTTCAATTGCATTTCTGATTGGATACAAACATTTAAAACCAATGGTTCGTCTGTACTTGAAGGCATTGGTGTTATTGAAGAGATTTAAAACAACAGTTTTTCTCAAATGGAGAATGACGAATATTTAAAAAAAAAGTAAAACGACCTGCGCAGATCTCTTTCATTTGATAATATCAAGCAATACTAGTATGTCATTGTAATTTTTCAATCCTTGAAATAAACTAAATAAAAAAACAAAACATTAAACTGTACTTGATTTTTGTTGTTTTGCGAGCATATTTACCAATGTTTTAGTGCTTATCTAAGCGCTTAAAATGGATTTTTTCTTGCTTATTTTCTTCGACCCTGATTATAATGTACTATGCGTTATTCTATTTTATTTTCCATAACTGTATATACAATAGGCCGTATCACGAAAAAAAGTTTGGTGTAGATCAGTTTTATTTGAACAGTTATGTATGTTGAGAAAATTTTGGGTTTAATCATTTTTTTAAGGCTCCCGCTAAAGGAGCTAAATAGCGTTTTTATTACCTCGCTTTTATTAGCTTGGGATGTAACTATGTAATATTGATGCGCCTAAAAGATGCAGCGATTTCCATTCTCAAGTTACATACCTGATGACAGTATGAATGGAAATTAAAAACAATATATATGTGACCTGGTCTACGAAAAGGGAGCTTACGTGCGAAAACTAGTTTTCTGTGAAAAAGCTGTTAAAAGTAAGCAACTGGTTTCGTCAGTTTCTCATTATCTCGTTAATTATTCTCCGCGCCGGACGTCCAGTAAGTGTTGTTGTTGGTCCAGTAAGTGTTGTTGTTGGTCGGAATATTATTATAGTTCATCGTGTAAGTTGCTAGTGTGGAACATTTAAAAAAGTAACACTGAAGAAGTGACGTTTACTGTTTCTGTTTCTACATTTTTAGTACACTTCTAAGCAAGTTAGGATTTTCTGCTTTTCACCACGTGAAAAAGCATCTCATCTTCCATCCGAATCAACCAAAAAGTGAAAATTGATTTTTTGACACCTAAGCCCCCTTTCCGTAGACCAGGTCACATATATGTATTGGGATCGATAGATATGAATGAGCTGAACATAACGGTATATTTTTTTTACGGAAACTACAACTACAAAAGTTACTAGGGGTTAAAGTTCAAATTAAACAATTCTTTAAATAAAAATTTCTTGAAAACGAATGCATGGATTTTAAAAATTTTATGTATAGTTTTTATAAAAATTGTATTGATTAAAAAAAAAATATTAATCAAATCTTTATAAACCCATTTTATTTAAATCCCCTATTTTGTTATATGTAAAAGTTGTAAAATTGAATCGGAAGTTAATCAATCACTTAGGTATTATAACCCTTACTACGTAGAATTCTCCTTTCTGTGTAGCCGAGAAAAAAAGGGGAACTCCTTTCTGCGTATTTATAAATCCTTAATAAGGGAATTTAAATACGAATGAGTTTGTAAAAATTTCCTTTATAACACTGGATCACAAATTTTAATTTTGTTTTTATTCTCCTGATGCCACTATCCAATTTGTNCAATGTTTATGGATACGCTTTCTAGATATTTGCAATTTACCGTTATTCAGCTTAAAAAAAAAGATTGGTTCCACTTAATCAAGTATATCTTACGAAACGTCTGAACAATTGTAATACGAAATACGGCAAATCAAAGCCAATTAAATTCTCCATAAGCTGTGTATACATCACTTTTCTATAGGCCTGACAGTGTCTGAGAAATTAAATAATCATTCCAGGTTCTTTGATTTTTCGATTAAAAAATTCAAACTTTAACAGGGAAAAAATTAAAAGATAACAGTTTCTGTGTAAATGTTTTACCTGTTCCTCCAGAAAAAAATTCAGTTACCAATGAAGAAAATCGATGGATAAATAAGAAAGTAANTTTTTTTATATTAAATTATATTTTAAGAAATACTGAAAATTTGGAATAAAAAATCGCGCGATTCTTTATTCCAAATTTTCGCCTGCGGCGCTTTCTTTAACAAAAAAAAGAAACAATATTTAAATATATACTGAAAATTTCCGCCACTTTTTTAAATAGGAAACATTCTAAAAAAATTAATATTATTTTAATTTGTTGTCTGCATTTTGATTTGACTGTATTTTGATTTGTCTGGATTTTGATTTGTCTGTATTTTGACTGTCCGCATTTTGAATTTCTGGATTTTGCTTGTATGGATTATGTTATACACCCAATTTTTCTCAAATGGAGAATGACGAATATTAAAAAAAAATTAAAACGACCTGCGCAGATCTCTTTTATTTGATAATACCAAGCAATACTAGTATGCCATTGTAATTTTTCAATCCTTGACATAAACTAAATAAAAAACAAAACATTAAACTGTACTTGATTTTTGTTGTTTTACGAGCATGTTTACAAGCATATTTACCAATGTTTATGGATACGCTTTCTAGATATTTGCAATTTACCGTTATTCAGCTTAAAAAAAAAGATTGGTTCCACTTAATCAAGTATATCTTACGAAACGTCTGAACAATTGTAATACGAAATACGGCAAATCAAAGCCAATTAAATTCTCCATAAGCTGTGTATACATCACTTTTCTATAGGCCTGACAGTGTCTGAGAAATTAATTAATCATTCCAGATTTTTTGTTTTTTCGATTAAAAAATTCAAACTTTAACAGGGAAAAAATTAAAAAATAACAGTTTCTGTGTAAATGTTTTACCTGTTCCTCCAGAAAAAAATTCAGTTACCAATGAAGAAAATCGATGGATAAATAAGAAAGTAATGATTCGTCATATTACAAGTAATTTTTAGCAAAAAAAAAACCGCCTTGAACTCTCATATAAAAAAAAAATATATATATATATATATCTCATGATCGGCTGATCGGATCTTAACCAGATTAGCAAATTAGTATGGGACCACCTCTGAGACACTACCTTTCCGATGCAAAAAGAATTATCGAAATCGGGTGACGTGGGCCAAAGTTATGCGGTAACATACATAAAAACAAAAAAAACAAAAAAAAATATTCCGACGAACTGATAACCTCCTCCTTTTTTGGAAGTCGGTTAAAAATGCGCAAGGATTTTTTGTATGAAATATGAGCAGAAAAGAGTATTACTCATACGCCACGCACACCTGAGTGTTTGCATCGAAATTATTAGATAATTTCCCAGAAACTATCAGAGCTATCGAAAAGTGATGCACATACGGTTTAGGGAGAATTTCATCTTCCGTAACTCGTATTACGTTTATTCAATTGATTCGTAAGATATACGTGATTAATGGAAACCACTCTTTTTTAAGCTGAACAACGGTAAAATGCAAATATCTTGAAAAGTTATCCATAGAAAAAAAAATATCACGATTTTCGGAATCACCGATCAATTCTACATTGGAATTGCATAGTGGCATCCATAGAGCATTTTTGCTGTAAACCAGTGTAATTTTTTTACATTAATTCGATCTTTGTGAAAACTAAAGGCATATATAAAATATGTATATCAAATTAAGGGGAATCAAATTTCCTATCAAATGAGACCAAATCCGAGCATTCGTTTTCAAGAAATTTTGATTTAAAAAATTGGTTAATTTGAACTTTGACCCTTAATAACTTTTGTAGTTGTCGTTTCCGCAAAAAAAAATATAAACCGTTATACTCACCGCAATAATTTTTAACGATCCCCGTATATTTTTTGTTATAATTTGAGAATCAGAGCTATTCTGCATTTATGTCCAAAGTCCCCATCAAATTTTTAAAGCTTTAGGGCCAGTATCTCAAAGTCTGGTTAACACTAACTACAGGTTAAACATGGTTATCGACGTTATCGACTCCCTGTTTTATGTAATGGAGTAGATCACATTTAAACTGCAGTTAGTGTTAACCAAACATGGAGAAACTGGCCCTTAGATTTATAGTATAAAAATATAAAACTAGGGAGAGTATTTCCAAAATTAGTGAAGATATAAATAAAAACAGTTCAGAAATATTTTGCTTGTGAATCACACCGATTTCGAATTACATGATTTTCGGAACAAGACTGATCAATTTTCATTGTACTAAATTCAGATAACTCCTGCCCACCTCATGACTGTTGAAATGAATTTTAAATAAAAAATCAAAAGAATGTTTTATTCACAAAAAAAAACTATTTAATAGCCTATAGTCAAAGAAAATTAACAATGACTTCATATTTGGTATTTTCATCCAACTAAACGAAAGTGGCATTAAATTTTGCATAAAGAAAACGTCCCATGCAGCGCAGAATCAGCACACTTCCGATTAACTTAATTAGGAAATGTAATACTTTGTAAATCTGCATGCGTGTCAGGGCGCCTTGGGAACACGTTGCCGGTTCATTCAATAAAAATACGCGAGCGCCTCGTATACCTGAGCGAAAGAATTGTTCATAATCAAGATCTCTGAATTGTAAAAAGCCGAATATATGTCTGGAAAAATTTAAGAAATTTGTGTAACATTAATCCTTGAATTTGGAATGAAGTTAAAAATGGTAATATTTACTCTTCCGAATCCGGCACAAATGAATTCAAAGCGTAAAAGTTATCGTTTTTGAAATCCCATTCTGTGTTTACAAAGAAATGCAGAGCCAAGGTAGCAGCATAAATTCGACGTTGTAGTTTCAAAAGACTAAATAAATAATAATAAATAAATTTATAAAATTTAATTTAATTCATACTAAAGAAATCCACTTTTTGTTTTTTAATTTTATAACTTACAATGGTTTCGTGTTGGTAAAACGCAAGGCAAAATCGACGAAAATTGCCACTAGAACATGCAGAGTAACGAACTGAAGAGAAAAAGTGGAAAATATGTGGGTTTCGTAAATAAATTCTAGATAAGTATAACTGTTCAAAATTAGTATCAAGGCATATCAAACAGGTAGCAGCATTATATCAAAAAGAACATTTGGGTGTATTTTTTTGTCACTACTAGTATCTAAAATGTCAAAAAATAGGCTACTCTTTTTTGGGTCGTAGATTGCGGATTTGTATACCGTTTTTCTAGATCAGGTCATTTCCCCAAGATATTTTCATTTTAAGTTTGCATTGCGAATGCAAAAAAAAATCGAACATTTACATGGCAAATGTTACTCATAAATAATGGGACCAACTATTTCATAGCTCAAGAAAGTACAAGATCTGAGAACCAAAAATAGTATGAAAGTAACGAGAAAATGGTAAAAGCAAAATATACAAAACGTTGACAGTATATCAATTCAACAAATCAATTTTATTAATTAAAAATTAAACTTTATTCAGTAACAATAGAAACTTATACCAAAATTCATAAAAAAATAAATAAGACTTTAACTGCTTTATGAATCCAAAGTTTGCATGAAAATAGCATTTCATAAAGGTCTTTAAACCTATTATATTTTTTACGAATATAGGGATATATAAATACGAATATTTCATGTAAATGCCACAAAATTGAACACTTTTTACACCCATGAATTTTTGGAAATGAGAGACAAAAACAAAGTAGATAAGGGGAAAAACAACCCTTAACCATCCTTCAAAAAGATGTAGGTACTGTACTTCCGAAAGAAGTACGGTGGGTCACATTACTCATACGCCATGTAGAAGGATGGATGAGTAATATTATTTTACTACTACCTGTTTAATAAACCTTGAGTAGTATGAATTCTTGATCAAATTTAAAAACAATTATTCTAGAAAATACGCCTTCTATGCGTACATACATACAGTAACGAACAAAAGTATTGGCACAGAGAATTTTTCGCAATTTATCCAAAGTTTTTCATTAAAATTTTCATACTAATTTGCAACTTCCTACTCAGATTTTTTAGAAAAATTCTAAGTATGCAATTTTATATTATAGCCCATTTAATTAAAGTATGCAAGCTTGAAGCGCTAAAAAAATTCCCTGATTTTTGGCAATTTTTTCACGAAGTTTCTTCCATAAAAAGTAGATTCGACAATTTTTGTATATGAAAGAAAATAATGCTTAGAAAATAATTGTTATGCTAAATTTGAATGGGATATAAAACAGCATTCTTTTCTAAAACAAACCTGAATAGAAAGTTGCAAATTAGTATGCAAATTTATTGAATTTTTCTGAATTTTGCACAAAATTTAGAGCTTTTATTTTTATGTTTTTTGATGTAGTATGAACTATACTTTTATAGAAAATTATCAAAAAGAAATCACAATAAAAAACTTTGCATATATTGCGAAACATTCTCGGTGCCAATACTTTTGTTCGTCACTGTACATACATATTTGAAATTTACGTTTCCTGAATAGAACTATTAACCTTCAAAATTTTTTTCAGGCGAAAAAATTAAAAGGATGAAAAGGATTTTATGACGAAAAATTTAAAAGGATGTATGTACATACATACTTATCGAATGGGGTCACACAAATATTTTGATAGTTTATTTTAAAACATTTATATGCTCTAACCTAACACAGTGGTCCACAAATGTATTATTTTCTTCTTTTGGTGTAAATTTTACCCCCTAAGAAAATTTTAGAATGCTCCCAGAAATCTAAAATGGCAAGCGATGATATAGGCGCTAAAGTTAAATTTTATACAAACCCGAATAAAATTCCACACTGGACAACGTGTTATGCTGCCATCTGGCACCCACAATGTCTTTTCAAATGGTGTATCCTTGATAACTCTCTTGCCGATCTCGATAACTTCGCCAGTCGTTATGGGACATATTTTGGAAGCAGCACAATTAATTACCTCCACTTTCGGATCATTCTTATTCCTAGCAAAATAGACGGAGGCAAATTAATTTGCAGTTTTTTCTCTTTTACCTAAAATTTACCATTCTTCAGTTCCCTTACGATAGGTTGCAATTAGCATGGAACGTACGACCACATCTACTGGCACAAAGTCAGAGACAATATCCGGTTCGGCACAGCTTGTGCGGAAAATACCAATACCACAAGCCACCAACATTCCAATGGGGCCGTTGAAGTTGTCTACCCAACCGGGCACAGGATCTTCAATTGATGAAACCACTGTGAAATATTTTTGAATAAATAATTAATTAGTAAATATACATATATAATGAATATGTCATATGTATGTATGTATATGGGTATATCACAGGAACTTTTGATTTTGATGATTATGCATAGTTTCGTAGATATGTACATATATGTATTTTCAAAATCGCTATATCTGATGGATCAATGGGACTTAAGATTCGTGTTCAGCGATCCTTAAACATACATAACACCTGATCAGGACTCGAATCGTCACATACGGTATCGTATTACTCGTCACATAAAAACATATTTTTCGGATTACGACATACGTGAACGTACTCTTTATCCCATTATTTTATCTTATCTTTAGTATAAAAATTTCGGCCCTTCGGCAACACTGAAGTTTACGAGGTCGTTTGCGCATCAAATTTGCCGCGAAAATTTAAGAGGGGCTCGTAAATATAGCTCCATAAAAATGTTGACAGTTCTTTCAGGAGGCTCGTAAATTTACGAGGTTTACGAGGTTTTTACGAGTTTAAGGGAAGACCCCTACTATTTTACATTACCCGGCTTGAAAACCGAGTTTCCATTTTCTTACTTATGTTTCAAAAGTTCCTGAGAAATGCCCACATACATCATTTAAAATTTTCATCCTGTAATTTGTGACCGTATTTTAGTAAATATGTAATATATGGTGCATACCACCTTACAAGCAAACCAAAAAAAATTGGCCATACACCCCTGCGTCCTCATGTCTTTTTATAAAATAATTTTGAAAAAAAAATCCCGAAAATAAGTTAGGCCTTTTTAAATTTTTCGGTGAGAAAAAAATTTGTTTACATAGTTCTACTGAAATAATCGAAATACTTACTTGCTGAGCTTCACTTTATTGGCATTAGGGTGGTACGTTAGGGTCAATGAACTTTGGAACAAAGAAAATTATATCTTCGAGTCAAAATATCGATATATTATATTTTATGATCCGACTTTAAATGCCGCAGATATGACGAAAAATTAAAAAAGTCGCCCCTTCGTTCGGCCAAAAAATTATTTTTTCTTTTTTAAATAGCCTTTCAAATTAACCTTAGACTCGGGGCTGCTTAATTTGTTAAAAAATTCATAGCGATATCTACGCATTAATAAAGTGGTTAGTTATTATTATTTTTTTAATGAGAAAAGCTGACTAAAAACTGTATCCCATTTTTCTTGTACACTTGATTTTTTGAATTATGACATTCTTTCAGGAAAGGAGTATATATACAACTAATTCTAGGTATGTATGTACATAAAAAGTAAGTATTCCCACCTATTGATGGACGAAATATCAGCAAAGGTAATCGGTCCTTGTACTCCTTAATAATTTGTTCAGCTAAACTTTTCGTAAATGTATAAGTGTTTGGTTGGAAATCGCCATATCTGTGCACAATAGAGTAAACGCGTTTTTCATTACACAAATAAATAGAAAGCAAAACATATACATATATTCATCCACTGTAAACTCACTTAAGATTAAATATATTCAAAGATTCTGTGCTATAAGTTTCAGCCAATTTGATGGTTGTACGCCAATCCGCATAAGAGGGATAGAACTAAAAATAACCACAAAATTTAATAGTATAAAATAAATTTAATTAAATTAACTATACCTTCTCTTCAACAACATGTCTGTTGGGATAACAATATGTAGTGGAAACATGCATAAACACCTTCAGATGTTTCAGAGTCTCTGCGATTTTGATGAGCTCATAAGTGCCGCGTGTATTCATGAGTATAGCTTCACGCAATGGGTCATCGAATCTGTGCATCGAAAATGGCATTACATACGTTTTTTACATTCATATGCACATATACAGGTACATATATACATATGTATATAGGAGTTTCATGAAAAATCAGCAGTGTTCAAATGAATTAAATAATCAGTGTATGGTATGTACATTTGTTACTTATGTTAATAGGGTGGTGCAATGAAACATAATTATACAATACCTTACACTCGCTGCCGAATGATATATAATATTCACGTTCTGTAAGCGTAACAAATCGTCTTCGCTAATACCCAAACCCAGTTGACTACAATCACCCGCTATTGCATGGACTTTCTGCAAATTTTGTGGCTGCTCTTCTCGTAATCGTTCAAAAAGTTTTGAATGCAATATATCTTGTAGGCGATCATCTATGCATTTGCCTTTTTTTGGGCGCATCAAAACAAATATTGCAGCTACATTCGGGCAAGAGCGTAAAATTTTTTCGATAAGACCCTTACCAATGAAGCCTGAGAAAAGGAAAGGAAAAATTAACTTATGATGAATTAAAAATGTATATTTAATAATAAAAAAAAAAGATGTAAACGCCATTTTTCCAAAATTTTCATTTTGATGCAGAAACGTTCCTAAAGCATCATCTTTCTATCGATGCACTTCTGCATCAAAATATACAATTTTGAAAAAAAAGTCGCTTACAGCTTTTTGGCGGTTAGGGCTCGATATGAGTTATTTGGCTATATAGAGTGTGAAAAGTCTCAGACATATTCCGCCGTATCATGAGTTTTATTTTCCCCGAATCGGTTCACTTTTCACTTTTCGTTTCCATGTATTTACTATGGGCGGATGAATTTTTTTTTTGGGCGAAACTTAGGATAAGGCAGATTTCGAAAGTTTTTATGCTCCTATAATAATTCAAAAATGCAACTTAGGCCATATTATGTCAGTTGACATAGAGCTGTGCAAATATATGTATGTTTGTAGGGATGTATGTACATTAGGGTAGTCCAAAAATGCATGCGGGGGGGGAAGTAAATTCGGAATTTTTATGCTCTCACCCCCTAGGATTGTTCTATACCGAAAAAAATATACCCCTATTTTACGAAAATACATGGAAAACTTTGAGCGCTTTCAGCGACTTCTAAATATTTGTTGATTAAAAAAAAAATAGGGGTATACTTTTTTCGATATAGAACAATCCTAATATGCACATTATTTTATTCATGATCCGGCTTATGTATGGACTTGTGTGTATCGAGAAACTTCATTTCAATATCATTCTGAAGAATAATCGATTCCTAAACAAGTATGGAATTAAAAAAAATACAATCGACGTCAGAGCTTCGTTTTTTTATCATTGATGCAATCCTCAGAATACATAAGGCACCAGAATTGAGGACTTCACTTTGCAAGTGATCTGTTGAGAATAAAGTTGAGAGAAATAAAAGTAGTATTCTCGACAACCGAAGTCAGAGCAAGACGGAAATGACAGAAGATCCGTAGCGAGATCAACTTCTTATCGTCGAAATACTCATGTCTCTATGGAGTGTATTATGAATCGCTCAATCGGTCAATCGTGTAAATTTATTATCAAACAAATTTCGAATAAAAACAATCGACTTGGGATTGGGGTTGGGATTGACAAGGTGGTACCTCAAGGGTTATCCCATACTAATTTGGTTTAGTTCCGATCCGATACTGTGTATACCTACAAAAGCATACAAAGTTTTCTACAAAAATAAAACAATTGCATAGTTAATTTAATGTCAAAACTTTGCATTTTCAAAAATTCTATTTATCAGAATCATATACATATAATGCCCAAATTGTCATTAAAATATTTTCAATTTAATGTCCGGTGGTAAACAGGCTTTAAATATGTAAACACTAAAAATTTTAATTACACTAAGTGCCGTTTTCTCAAATAGGTTTTCAATTTTTCTGCCCTTCAAGCTATATTTCCGAACAAAATTTTTGTTTAAAGGGCCACATAAATTTTAAAACCTACATGAGAAAAGGCCCTAAATTTTATATTAGCGCCAGCTGTTTAGAAAATATTCGAAAATAGCGAATGTTGAAGTTTTCTTCAAATATTTGTATGTATAATGCATTCCAGCGATTATACATACATAATTTGCATGAGAGACTTACCTGAGCCGCCAGTGATGAAGATCTCCTGGTTTTCGAAAAACTGTGCTATCGACATTTCTTCTGTAAATAAATGAAATAAACTAATATTACTTACCTTATTTGTTTGCACAGGAAGGCACTCCGCACACAAAGCCCCTAATCATAATAGTGTAATCGTTTCGGCATACTACAACATGAATGAAGCTTTCGTGCCGAGCTCATATATTTCAAGGAACTCTTTACATTACGACTGCTAACCATGTTTCACCTTATCATAAAAGCTGCATGAATCGAAGCGCTCAACATTTAAGGGCGCTTGCCGTTTAGAAATCATCATTTGTTTAAATTTTAGGTTGTACAAAAAAAAAAACAAAGTCCAAGTCAAATTCGTCCAAGTGGTATTGAATCAAAGGTGCAAAAATAGGCGCGAAAATATGTAATGGACAAAGAACGGTCAGAAAAGTGCAATGTCTGTGTTTATTAGCTGGGACTTATGCAAGGCGCGCAAGTGCTCAGACTTCGAGCCGTCAGGTATTCGTTTCGGCATGATGAAAAACGATTACTCTACTATGATAAGGCGCGTAATGTGCGGAGTGTCTAAAACAATACATTCATATACAAATGAACCCCTGCAAAAATTGCTACTGCTCCATGCAAGCATGTAAAGAGTACTCCCTAAGGGTCAAGGAGTACTCCAAAATTAACCACAATTCATATAAAAAATGTGCTCCAATTAACATTGCGATGTCTTAGGGGAGGACCATATACTCCTGCTCTGCTGCTGCTACTCCAACATTTTAACAATGCATTGTTGATATATTTTTTCGTTTGTAAGCGCTTTTGTTCTTCACTTCACAGATGTTTTTTCGCAATTAGTAAAAAGCCAAAACAAAAATAAAAATTAAAAATTACATTTTGCCTCTGATGGCATTCGAACCCGAACCTGCTTGCAGCTAACAAATAACAGCGAACATCTCTACACGTTCAGCTACAGCCAGACATGCAAATGTGCTTTCAAATGCTCAACTTTAATCACATTTCCTTAAAGCTGGTGCAGAGACAGAAGTTGGCCCGTTACAGCAGAGGAGCACTTTTGAAAGTACTCCAATATACCACAAATAGACTACATGGTCCCAACGATTTTTGCAGGGACATATGTTAGTATAAGTATTTACCTACATACATACAAAGTAGCTGCATATGTATGTATATCTATACCTAAATACATACATACTTAATATGTACATATGCATCTAAATAAATATGTACATTAGACGAGATCGCGGAAAAAGTTTGCAACAAACCTCCCCTCCCCCTCCTACTTTGAAAGTTTACTTTGTGAGGATTTTTAGGTCATACATATTTTTTGGTACTATACATTCTTCTAATAAAGCTTACTAAATTCTAATAACTCAGTTTCTACATCACATTTCATAAAATTAAACACTTTAGCAAGCGATTACTTTTTTGGAAGCGTAACAAACAAATACAACAACAAAAACATCTTTTCAACGATATATCACACTTTGAAATCGAGTCATAAAAGAAAAAGTTAGGAAGAAATTCCGATTTTGGCTGTTTTTAGGAGTCGCCAAGGACGAAAATTTGTGTGACCCTAAAATCCTCTCAAAGCAAGCTTTTAAACTAGGGGAGTAAATGCGAACATTTTTCTTTTGTATGGCGATCAACCTAGGCTAATGTAAATACATACTTACATACATGCATACAGTGTTAGTACGGTTCACTTCTGATTGAACTTTTAGCGATTTGCATAGAAATTAAGCACTTATTGAAATTTTTGACGCACTTCGTTGATACTGTATTGTAAGTGCACATATGTACATACGTATGTATATTTACAAAGGTATTGACCACATGTATGCTTGTACCTCTACATTGTAGATACGAATTTACATTTCGGTTTTTTAGTTTTCTTTAGTAAGTTTTAACTATAAATGTGGATTGATTCGACTTCATGGTACATTAACCTATTCATCGACGTAAAATATGTATGTATGTACATATGTATATATACATAGTATAGCTCAGAATTGCATATATATGTATGTAGGTACTTGCCATTGCATAAATACTTTTCCTGAAAAGACGAAAGGCCAATTCTTTTGCAACCGAGACAATGTTTACATAATTAAAAAAACTGACAGCAGTAAGCAAACAGGATCAAAATAAACTTTAATTCCCTTGAAAGTCAATAACAACCACAAAAATAATAACTTAATAGAAAACTTTGACTACTCGTGCAAAATTTGGAAAGTCTGACATTTTTGGATGTTAAATGTAAAAAAAAAATAATAATAATAATTTCTTATTGAAAAATAAAGTTTTTGCAGGATTTTTAACTTCTATGCAGCGACAAATAAACAAAACTTTGGGCTATAAATCACATAGTAATTTAATAGCCCATTTCCACCTTCAAAAATTTTAATATGGGGTGATCGACAAAGGTTTATTTCTCATCTTCTGCTTCTTTACTTTCTTATGCTTGTCCGAGCTCTGTGCAATTACCCCATTCGAGTTGTAGTCTCCTTTTCCAATGGGCATAAACAGCAGTTAAGGCTTGGTGGAAATGAACTATAACACTCTAATCAGATTCGAAGTGAAAAAGAAGTATAGTAATTTTGTTTTTCTATAAAATTTTAAAATCACAAAGAAAACAAGAAGTTATTTATTCACATATGAAAAATTCCAATACCAATTCATCGATAGCTGCATTCACAAATATGTATGACTGTATGCACATATATACGTACTTATGTATGTATGTTGTCCTTTGAAGGATCAACGCACCTTTAAATTTTTTTAAATAAAAATATGAAACGTCTATTAGAATTGAAAATATTCTACTGGATGTCGTCTACTGCGCCGCCACTTTCAAACTGATCACAATTTTTAGTTAGTATAGCGTATTTGCCTTTTGTTTCAATTACTTCTCGAATAAATTTAAAGTTGTAAATTTTAAATATACATACCTTAGGGTGGTAAACAAAGTTTAAAATGGTAAGATCTAACACCCTACACACACTTTTTCGTAGAAATGGTATAGAATTGTTTAACCCTTCTGCGGTGATTGGGTCAAGATTACCCAGCGTTAGGCAATTTTAAAGAAGCTGCGGCGTTATCTATTCGTTAAAAACATAATCAGCTACGGTTTGCAAAAAATAAAAGAGTTTTTTATTTTATTTTATTTTCTAGAAGGCGACTTAGTTTTTCCATACACCCACAGTATTTTTGGGTAATTTTGACCCAAATTATTATTTAGTATTTAAGAGCAACTTTGAATAGCTAAGCATACAGCACTTACCAATAAAGTGTCTGCATGTGATAAATAAAATATTAACTGAATTCATGTTGAAATATCGGTTTTTCTTAAAATTGACTAATTTCTCTTCATTATCGGAAGGGGTAAATTCCAAACTCTGCAGAAGGGTTAAAATCAATATTTTTCGATCGCAAAGCTCTGTTTCACTTCAGAAGACTTTTAATAATAATAACCAATGGTTTATTTTATGATCTTCTAATACTAACGATTTGTTATGGATCCCCCACTGCATTTTAAGAAAGGATAACACCCACTTTTTTTATTTCATCTGCCGATATACTGCCTAGAAATACATGATTTCTTACAACTACATATTTAATTACACTGTACGATATTTTCAGTTTTTTCTGGGGAATTGATGAAACCAATAATTTAAAATTTAAGTACAAATATCAATACCATCAAAATGCCTTTCTAGGATTTTAGGGTCTGCCATGGCAACAAGCACAAAATTTCAAAATGCAATTCCAACTGTAAATCCAAGACCATTTCCAAAACATTCTGACCAGCCCTAATGTTTCATATTTTTTCTTTTGCACCTAAGCAAAAACCCAAAAACCCTCAGAAGGCCTTTTGACAGCATAAATATATGCATTTAAATCAATTTTAATTACTTAAAAAGCTGCTCTGCGACTACCAATCTGGAAAAACTGACAAAATACTTTTCTATATACAATCCAGACTTTCACAAAAAATCGCATTCAGCAATTCCCCAGCTGACTGCTGAACAGTGGTCTTAACCCTTTGAGAACCGATGTTGCTTATAGGCAACATTGACATTTTGAGTTATAAATCCTATTTTTTTAATTATTTTATGTAAAGGTTTGTTTAAGTGGATACTTTGGAATGTTGTGAAGGCAAAATGCTGAATAATCATAGTGAAAGAAAAACATAAAACCTAGAAAATGATTTTGTTTCGTTTTCCGTCGACTAGAAAACCGTTCTATAAAAGCTATGGCGTTCATAGCTGACAAGAATTGTATATAAAAAAGAATTTCTCTGCGTGAATGCGAAGGACAACACCAAAAGAGATATTGCCGAAAATGAGCAATAAAAGTTTCTCTGTGTGAACCTAGTCTAGTCTCCGCTTTAGGCAAAGAACATAGTGACGCGACAAAGAGACCGACAAGACGTTTTCGCATAATAGCTAAGAAAGAGACAAGAAACGTCCCAGAATGATAGAATACAAGATGGCGCATTCCTGCGGGTGATGACATCACGTTCGCAACGAAAAGTGGAGATGAAGGAAACAAAAAATAGCGGTGGCCGCCACACAGCTGAGTCTGTCAAATTCGCCAAAACCAAGGTAGCGGTCATGATTCAATAATACAAGGTTAGATAATTATTGACAGCTGCGGTTTGACACTCCCTTACAAAAGGTTGCATTTACGAAGGACAGAGAAAGGGCAAGAATGCAATCCCTTGCTTCGAAAATGGTAGTAGAAAAGTACGCAAAGTAGGCAATTAGTAGTGAAATTCCTTTCGTAAATTCTAATGTATTTGCAGGAAATCTGGCATTTTAAACGAAATGTTGAACGTAATATTGATATATCTACGTGAATTACGGAATTTATATGCTATTTAGCCGCATAAAAACTGCAAAATGACTCAAAATTAAAATAAGACCACTATGAGATTGATGTAAACATCCAATGCTTAGGTTTTCATCAGTTAAATATGCTTCATATGCATGTACAAATAACATATTGCACAAAAGCTTATACTTTTATTTCACACCAAAGCTACACTGTTTCGATGTAAATTTGCAAAGAAGCAACACGGTGCCACTGCTAAGGGAGCGGTGCGAGAGAGACAACTGTCAGTTTATCGACCTTGTATTACTGAATCATGTGCTGCCACATTGAAAAATAAAGATTTGTTCTTGACGTTATTTATCCGAAAATGTCTTGTCGCTCTCTTTGTCGCGTCACCTTGTACGTCACAAAACTAAATACCAATTCAGACCGGTTACTTTGCAATCCTCTTCCGCTTATTTACTCACATCTCTATTGACAAACAAGCGTAGATAAAAAAATCTGAAGATTTGTTCGACTGTCAACCAGGAAGCAGAGGAAAATTACAATTTTCAGACAAAAATCTTAAAGAAAACAAATTTGTGCGGTTCTTATGCAAATTGTTTAAATTTTCAATTAAAAAAAGTGTATGCTAAATAACTAAAAATATAGATCTGTAGTTGAGTTGCTCTCGTATCCACCGACTCGACAGATTTTTCAGTGTTTAGCACAAGCGTCGTTGAAACAAGGGTGCGAGGCGCCAGCGCTAACAGCAACCGCAGTCAGTATAGTAGCAAACAAAAAAGCACAACATAAATTAAAAAATATATGATTTGGACTGGTTCAAAAGCGGCAAATAAATGAAGAATGGCCACAACACAGCAATACTCGCTTCGTTGGAACAATTACTTTCGACATTTAACATATGCTCTGGACAATCACCGCAACAACGATGATTTTGTTGATGTGAGTTTGTGCTGCGATGGACGAAAAATCAAAGCACATAAAGTGGTGCTTTCCTCCTGCAGCTCATATTTCAAAGAAATATTTAGGGATAATCCACATCCGCATCCAGTGATAATTTTCAAATTCATTAAATTCGAAGATCTCACCTCAATAATTGAGTTCATGTACCAGGTAAGCACGATAATTTTTCATATATTAGTTTGTTAATGTATGCATTTGTTTTTCACATGAGTAAAACGTATTTTTTCTACAGGGAGAAGTTAATGTACAGCAAGAAGCTTTGCAGTCCTTCCTACAAACCGCCGAATTGCTTGCTGTGCAAGGTCTTACCTCCGAGGAGAAGGAGAAACCAAAGTTGCCTCCAACACCTATCATTGATGAACAAAAACTTATTAAAACCATCCCCAGCACAATAAGAGCCGTTAACGATGTCGCGACCTCTACACAGACTACTCCGCAAACAATCGAAATATCAACAGCGAACATTTTGCAGCAACCGCAATCTCAGCAACAGCAACATACCACCACACAACATCATCATGTACAAACACAAATCCAACATATTCAGGTGCAGCATCAACCACAGTCGCATGTGCAAACACAGGTGCAGCAACAAACTGCAACACATCAGTTGCAACACCATCAACATCAACAATTGCAACAAACCCATTTAGGTACGCTGCCATCAACTAACACGATCAAGAAGCGTAAAATGACTTTCTCAGATGATGACGATAACATTTATACAACAGAAGGTGTGGATTATGGTGTCAAAGATGATTCGACAATTGTTAAATGTAATACAATTTATTTAAAATCTACGCCATTTACTATAATGCAATACCAATTTAATGAATTTCAGCTCCAGAAATGACATTCCTGCGAGGCACCGTCAAAATGGATATACCAGAATATATTGTAAGTGAGGTGGATGATAGTGAGCAGTTAACCGACGGCAGCGCACATCATACATCTCAAGATGGTGGAGGAACGGGTACACAGAATGTCACACAGTACACATCCGAATACGAAATTTTAACAGAATCAGAAATAGAAGAAAAATTTCAGGAAGCCGATGCAGAAAACGCTGAGATAACAATTGAAATGGGTAATTTGAGTGAAAATTGTATACGATTGTGTGCATACAAATTCAATGTATGTTTTAGGTCGGCTTTTAAATCCCACGACGAGTACACCATCAAATACAACACCACAGACGACGTTGGATGAGTCAGGCAGTGGTATCACTAATTCTGTAGTGAAAATTGATAACAAGGGCGGCGGAACTGCAGGTATGTTTGGTCGAAATTTCCATAAATATTAAAAAACCGTTATATAAATAAAGAAGTAATTAAAAAAAAACCACGTATACCGAAGAAACTTGTGTCTCTTCAGTAATATTTATAGCTAAAGAGCTAGAGTTACTTATTGCCGAAGCATGTTTTATATGAAAAGTTTCTTAGAAACCAATATTGTTCAATGTCAAATAGTAAAGCACTAGACGAGTAGTAGTATCATTACCGCACAGTTGAGTCTACATGGCGGTCAAAAATGGATGAATGGTGTTTCGTTTTTAATATGTATTTACAATGGCCCGTAGTCATAGTCAAAATAAAGTCGACTTTAAAGTTAGTTGCAGCTTTTTGACATAATTTTCAATGGGATATCTGTCAAAAAAGCTGCAACTAACTTTAAAGTCGACTTTATTTTGACTATGATTACGGGCCAAAGTTTTTAAAGAAAAAATTTGTTTGATATTTTTTTATTCAAATATGGTCTATGTTTTAACAAAAACTATAAAAATCACACTTTCAAACTTTATACACAACCTCATTGCGAGATTCGTGTCGAATGCAAGTCATTTTTCGAGAGCCGAATCGTATCGAAAATTTCACGTCATTGCCTAAAATTTCCACTCGACTTTATGTATTAAGACGGAAAACCATGGCAGCACTGTATGGTTTTCGACGATTTGTATCTAAATTTCAAGCTTTTCACCAGATTTTTTATACATTTTTTGGGTATGCAGTTAATAGGCTTATAAAATTTTAGTAAAACAAGTGCAAGTTTTATAACAATAGATTGGCGCTTACACATATGTTAGTGTTTGGCCGAGCTTCTCCTCCGTTTGGTGGCGTGCGCTTTGATGTTGTCACACAAAGGAAGGGACCTACAGTTTTACGTCGACTCCGAACGGCGATTGTGTTTTTATGAGAAGCTGTCTTTCATGGCAGAAATACACTCTGAGGTTTGCCATTGTCTAGTTTTGAGCGGCTAAAAATCGCATTGATTTTTAATAAAAAATGTCAAATGTTTTTGGGGTCGCTGAACACGAATCTGAAGTCCGTTTTGCTCCAACACGTCTAGATTTTTTCCGAACCTCAAAAAACACCTCGGATTTTGTCTGTCACGTAAAATCCGAGATGTTTTTTAAGGTTACAAAAAAATCCAGACGTGATGGAGCAAAACGGACTTTAGGTTCGTGTTCAGCGACCCCAAAAACATACAATAGACTAGGTTTGGTCAAAGGAACCTTTCATCGAATTTTTTTTGTGGACCTGTGTAATCTGCGATTTTTTATCCGCTCAAAACTAAATTTTATTTTACTTAAAGTTTATAAGCCTGTTAATTGCATACCCAAAAAATTTATAAAAATTCTGGTTAAAAAGCTCGAAATTTAGATAAAAATTGGTCGAATTTTTCTAAATTCTGTATAAAGTTTTAAGGTGTGATTTATATACTTTTTATGAACCAAATTTTTATAAAAAATTATCAAAAAAATTTTATTTTGAAAATATTAAAAGCGAACACCATTCATCCACTTTTGACCGCCACTGTACATATGTAACCGAGACGGCCCAGATCTATCTTTATTTAAGTAATGGAACCTCGGAATTATATGATTAGCTTTGCTCAATTTTGGTGAAAGGCAAGTAAATTAAAAAAATCTCTGAACGCTGATCAGTATGAAAGTGATGATGGTTTACAGACAGAATGTGCTTTACAATTTAGAGAAAAATTGTGAAACATAAATATGTACACTGCCGGAACTAAATATTGGCACAGCAAATCTTTCACAATATATGCAACAATTTTCATTTTAATATTTTTCCGCTAATTTCGTATTCTACAAAAAAAAAACATAAAAATATAACTTGTAAACTTTGTGCAAAACACGCGAAAATTCAGCAAATTTTCATGAAAATTTTCAACTTTTTAATCAGATTTTTTTTGAGTATGCAGATTTGTAGCCCAATCAATTTTATTATTAAAGTTCAAGTTTAAAGTAGCTAGAAATTACCGTTGATTTTTGGCAACTTTTTTCACGCAGTCTCTTCCAAACAAAATTTTTTTTCGCAAATACTTTATATGGAAAAAATGCAAAACACCTTCAACAAAGAAAAAAAAATCTCAAAAATCAACTCGATTTTTGACTAACTCCGAACTTGCCTTTTTTGTACTAGAATTTAATCAAAATCTGAATCAGATTCTGATTAAAAAGTTGGAAATTTTTATGAAAATTTGCTGAATTTTCGCGAGTTTAGCACAAAGTTTAGGAATTTTATTTTTATGTTTTTTGTTGTTGAATGACCAATATTTTTATACAAAATTGGCGGAAAAATATTAGAATAAAAATTGTTGCATATATTGTGAAAAATTGTCTTTGCCAATACTTTGTTCCGGCAGTGTATGTATGAATTTTTTTGGAATAATTACTTTGTAATAGACCCAGAAAACTTTTTATACCCGAGCGCACTTGTGCACAAGGGTATTATAACTTTGTTCACATAACGGTTGTTTGTAACAGGCAAAACGAATCGAGATAGATATAGACAAATGTATACATAAATGATCAGAATGAAAAGAGAAATCGATTAAGCGGTGACTGTCTGTCCGTCTGCGTCCGTCCGTCCGTCCGTCCGTCCGTCCTCTGTCCGTCTGTGCACACGATAACTCGAGTAAACATTAAGATATCTTAACGAAACTTGGTACGTATACTTATTTCAGCCGTAGGACGGATGGTATTGAAAATGGGCAAAATCGGACAATAACCACGCCTACCTCCCATATAACGGTAATTTTCAGAAATACGAAAACTGCGATATTTTAGTAACTACTGAAGATTATTCACTCAAAATTGATATTTACAATAACTTTTAGACGAAAAATAAGAATATTATAAATTTTTAGAAAATGGGCGTAGCCACGCCCACTTATGGATACATGTGTATATCTTGGTAACCGCTTCACCAATTTCTTCCGAACTTGGCGCAGTTGTTAGTCTTGCTACAGCATACCAAATGGCCGAAAATTTTTAAGAGCGGACAATAACCGCGCCTACCACCCATATAACGGTAATTTGGAGAAATACGAAATCTTCGATAAATCAATAAATATTAAAGCTAATTTATTCAAAATTAATTCTTGCAACAATTCTCTGCCAAGAAATACGTTTATGATAAAATTTTGGAAAATGGGCGTGACACCGCCCACTTATGATCACATATATGTATATCGGTAGCCGTTCTACCAATTTGTACCAAACTCGGTATGATTATTGTGCTTGCCGCATAGAAGCAAACCGTTGAAAATTATTGGAATCAGATTAAAATTACGACCACTTATCATATAACGGCAAATTTCAGAAATGCTTGAAACTTCAATATTTCGAAATTTAAGGACGCTAATTTACTCAGAATTGATACACACCGGCTTACCATGTAGCGGTAGCTTTCGGAAAGGTGAAAATCATATATTTAATACTTGCGCCGGGTATTTAATGTTCGGCTCCGCCCGAACTTAGACTTTCTTACTTGTTTGTTTTTGTTTTTTGAAGTAACTTCGAAAATTCACAACTTCATGTAAAGGGAAATTTCTCGCTCTTTTTGCGAAATAAGTAAATAGTAAAAATAAATATTTTTACAATAAGCTTTGTAAATACGTATTAATGAAAATACTGGTTTACACGTTCTAAATATGAACCAATTCGGACTATAAATACAGGGTTTTCAAATATCTCGACTTTTGCGCCACGTATCGGATTAACTCATCTTTCCTATTGCCTTGTCATCGGGTTCTGAGCACGGTTGCGACTTGTTAAAAAAATAAACAACCAAATTTGTCATCCACTTATCTACAAGTATTACAAAACTTAATAAAAAACATATATAATAAAACAATTTTATTGAGCTTGAGGCCGTTTTTATGAAAATTTTGTGGGGAAAACAATATTAATTTACATTTTGCTAGAAGTTATATCTGCTATTTCAGAAAACGTAAAAAATTTAAAAAAAATAGATTTTTCGTCGTTTGTGGCGTGGTTTGCAACCATTGCATTGGAAACAAAAACAACAACCTCATTTTGTGTTGATGCTTATGATGCGTTAATTAAATTATGAGTAAATGACGCTAAATGATTGTAATGTATGTACATTAGACTGTATCACCAAAAAAAGTTGCGGGTTTTCCGACGGAATCACAAAATTTATTATATTTGAAGACGTCCACCAAAATATTTCGGAAAAATATTAAGATTTACGTGCGCTGGGCCGATTTGAAAATGCCTCCAAAATTGGAGTTTTTTATGAATAAAAATAATTTCTTAAAGATCTTATTGAAAAAAATTCCCTTAAAATTCCCAGCTGACATAAATCTTAATATTTTTCCGAAATATTTTGGTGGACGTCTTAAAATATCATAGATTTTATAATTCCAATGAAAACACAGTACCATTTTTTTTTGTTGTATGGGGAGTGATGCAGTCTGATGTATGTACATACATAAAAGTATAATATACATAAATTTAAGTAGAACATACATTAAAAAAAAACTAAGTTAAAAGCATTGTAATTGTCTCATCCTTGCTATCCATCTTTACGCTATAACAAGTTCACATATGAGCCGCTCACCGTATGTAGCAAACGACAGCAAGCATGCTCGCTCATATGTTCGTCGTGTGTGGCCAGTGTAATTGGGGTGCCGCACACCAAGATTTGCAAGATGCTAATTAATGGATGGCTTCCTACATACCATTACTACATAACTTACTAAAAAGAAAGCCAAATAGGATTAAGTTTGCAAGCAATTATCTCGAGAATCAAGAACTTTTATTTACCATATATAAAAGTGCATACTATATAGGTTAGGTTTTTATTATTGATGATTCCTTGTAGCTTTGGGATCAATACTAAACCATTTTTGGCTGCCTATGCCTGCCTCATTAGAAATGAGGAATAAAGTAACAAAATACTTCATTTTACATAGGAATTATTTTTTGAAGAAATATATGAGT